TGTGTGTGTGTGTGTGTGTGTGTGTGTTTAACCTGTGTGTCTCGTCTCAGGTCTTACGGACGAGCACCAAAGATGATCTATCTGGAGGCTAATTTTGTCCAGTTTAAGGAGGAACTGCTTCCTAAAGAGGGAAATAAAGCGCTGCTGACGTTCCCCTTCCTGCACATCTACTGGACCGACTGCTGCGTGAGTCTCACGTGAAACGCCCCGCACTCTTCTGTCTTTAAGACGGTTCTTTTGTCATCCAGCATCAGAGTCTGATAGCTGCTGTCCTTCTGATGCAGAGCTAGAGTTTACAGCTGCTAAATGCATAAAGTGTCCAACATCCAGTACTTGTTTTTTTGGTTTAATCAGTGCAGTAACCCTTTCATTTTAAGTGCACTTGTTTTTGTTGGACTTTTCAGTGTGAGCACACATTTATACTACAGAGTGTCATAGAATAGTGCACTTATGGCGGAAAATAAGTTGCGCTGGGTCAGAACTGCATTGTTGAGAGAAAAAGCACAGATAAATTGCATCAGTGTACAGGTCACGTTTTATTAAATTATTATTTGTATTAAAAAATAAAATATAAATTATAAAATAAAATCATCAAACAAATGCAATTAAAAAATATAATAAACAATTATAAAAACAATTAAATATATAAAAAAAAATGTAACAAAAAATTAAATATTAAATCATAATGTTGAGCTGAATTAACAAACTTTCAGATTTTTTGATGAAAGTGAGGTGTGTGTGTGTGTGTGTGTGTGTGTGTGTGTGTGTTTAATGTATGTATGTGTGTGTGTGTGTGTGTTCATCCTGCCGCGCACCTCCATCATCGACAAGATCCGCAGCGACTTTTGCAACAAGCAGAGCGACAGGTGAGCTCCTGATCCCAGCATGCTCTTCTTCTGCAGCTGTGCTGAGTGTCTGACGAGCGTGAGAGCCAAACGCTGAATGAACAAACATGGACACAGGACAGATGTCATGAACCGCTCAGAATCAGCATTAATCAGTCGTTATCTATCTATCTATCTATCTATCTATCTATCTATCTATCTGTTGTTCTCTATCTATCTATCGTTCTATCGTTATCTATCTATCTCATAGCAACACTCTAGCGACTATCCAAACAAACCTAGCAACTACCCCGGGTACCCTAGCAACCGCAGCATAGCAACACCTTAGCAACCACCCCGGGTACCCTAGCAACCGCATAGCAACACCCTAGCAACCACATCTATCTATCTTCAGTCTGATTCTATCTGTCTATCTATCTGTCTGTCTATCTAAAACTTTTTAAACTTCTTAAACTTTTTAATCTTTTCAAACTTTTTCAAACTTTCTGGTCCGGCTTTCTCAAGCCAACTTAAAGTTTGTCTTGACGAACTTTTTTATCTAGTTATATTTGTATTTTTATATATTAAAAAAACATAAAAATAAAAATATAATAAAACAAATACTTTTAAATAAATATAAATAAAATTATAAAAAAATAAA